AAACATCTTATTGATATAAAACTAATATCGCTAACATCATTCTTACTACAGATATTGAAATTTAAGATTCATTGAAAAATATAGAAGTTTAAATCTGATGCAGTCAGGGGAGAACAGGACTAATCGATGGTGTGGTTGTCTCATGATCAGTTGGGGGTTGGGGTGGGGGACATAGGAAACCCAATGGTCTGAGGGTCTAGAGCTGCTCAGTCCACCACTGCTCAATGAACGATGCTTCTATTTTATTTTAAGTTAAGACTCCTACCTGTCTGTGTGTACCCAAAAATAACAGAGATCAGAATTATAAAAGTCTTCATGGTTTTGCCTATCTAGTATCTGAAAGATATAGATTACAGGAAATGATTCACCATAACTCATGAAATGAAATGGAGTTTTACGTCCTATTTCTATGAAAATTATATAGAATTGAAAAAAATAAAATAAAATAACAATCTCAAAAAGATTTGTAGGAATTGTAATGGAATTTAACTTCCCATTTGTAGGAAAGTTACTGAAAAAATCTGAAAAAGAGGTCCGAAATGTTTAATTCGTCTAGACGAAATCAAGTACAGGTTGTATTATTAGTTTTTGTAATAGTGACGTCATATACAATGAAGTATTTCTATAATACCAAGAACCGCAGACATCCGTCGGAAAATTGGAATAATGCAAATAGAAACCATGAATGTACCAGATACAAAATAGCTCAAAATTAAGGAACTTTGGAAATTGGACAACGTGACGGACTTGACCGTGACGTGACGTCTGTCAGCTTTGTACTTTTAGATACGTTTTGAGTATCCTGGACTGTATGATACAATAACAGTAATTATATATTTCTTGTTCCTGACCTTTCCAATCCTTTATATTAGACAAACAACAAGTAAATATTACCTATAATAATATAGGTAGGGGAATAATTATATTTCCAGTTGTCCACGGGTATTATTACAGCCCCTCTTGTCCGTATTTAAAAACCCTATATTTATATTTGCCTGGGTCAACGTTCAGTATATAATCGGCCTATTTATGATCCTTAGACAGAATGGAGTTCACATTATATCCCTGTCTGCCATATAACTATAGACAATTCAGTTTTTTTTTATTGGTGACATTTTTCAAAATTCTACCTATTTTTGTAACCGATATAAAAATTAAACTATCAAACTATAAACTTTAGAAGATAGCTCGCTAAATGCTGGGTACCCTAACTTAAAAAATATATGGTGAAAATAAAAAGAAATCTCGATTTACAATTACGGGCCATCATTTTCTAGATTATTGTAAAAATATAACCACAGAATAACACCACGAAAACCAACGTCTTATCTTCATTTGCATAAAACTAGATTTCATTCCCGAAATTGGAGAAGAATAATTTAGTAATGCTCAGTTCACACCAACGGCGCTTTGATGGCGCTTTAAAGCGGCGTACAAAGCGGTACCAAAGCGTAACAAAGCTCGACTAAAGCGCCAGGGTCGTAATAGATCGTTGGAAAGCTTTGAGCAAAGCTGGATATTCGGCAAGAGCGCCAAAAAATTTTAAACTGTTTAAAAATTGTGGGCGCTCTATCACGAATTGATTAAAGCGCCGAGAACGTATCAAAGCTTAACAAAGCGTAACAAAGTTCAGCAAAGATTGACTCAAAGCGTAGGAAAGCTTAACAGAGCTTTATTCAAAGCGGGGACCCCAGTCTTCGCGGTCTGTCACCACTTGATCAAAAGCGGCATGAAATCGGCCACTTCGAAATTTTCCAATGCGTAACAGAGCTTAACAATGCATAACAGAGCTTGATAATCGTATCAGAGCGTGATTTAAAGCGTCAATACCGCACCAAAGCTTAATAAAGCTTATCAAAGCGTGATTTAAAGCGTAACAAGGCCTGATCAAATCGGGAAATAATTCGTCCCCAAAGCGTAACCAATTCGTATCAGAGCTTATCAGAGCGTAACATTACTTAGGAAATCGTGATATTTTTTGAAAAGTAAACAAAAAATGATGGCGCCTTGCTCGCCGATTTAAAGCGCGGCATTCGCCGTTGATGTGAACTAGGCATTAGGAAACCTAGTGTTCACGAAGAACTAGCTTTAAAATTATAACAACCAACTATTCCTGATACAAACAAAAAATATTAATTGTACTTTAATTTTCTAATTTAAAATGCAAAAAAAAAAGGAATTAATCCAGAAGACACAAAATAAAAAGTGAAGAGAATATTTTAAATGTTAAATCCATCCTTATTTCTATGGACTTTAAGACATTCTAAGACAAGTTGCATGCGTTTTAAATATTTGGAAATGACCAGTTATGAGCTCACTGTGGTCGGACAGTAATAAACAAGTCGTAATGTAATAATGAAATAGTGGTAACCCTACCTGCGACCAGAAACGTCATCCATGCAAGAACATTAACGGTCTGAAGATTTAGAAAATAGCTTTGGGTAATATTGGGGGAAGAGTAACTATTTGAGAGAGTGAAGTAGATTTAATATGTTGACGGTTGTTGTCGAAGAATAAGAGTAAAATACTGTCGAAACTAGAGAGTGATACTTGGCATAATATTAACTCTAGATTTTACTCCAGTTAATATTTTATATTGTACCTCGATAATTCCGATGATGCTTGATTTGTATTTATCATTGCAGTCATCCCAGTTCGGCCTTTATTTATTTTATAACAGTCAACACTTCGTAAGACCTATTAGGGGCGTCTTTTCAAATCAGTTAACAAGGGAGGTAATGCTATACCATCATCTCTTCATCAAATCTTCAGAATTCATGGCCCCGTTTTTGTGTTGACTTTGTTTTGGACGGATGATTTTAAAGATCCTTACTACGCATAATTAGAAAGCCAATTAGAGTCGACGGCGTAAAAATCCACACTAAGGCACTGGGTATCTATTGTCACCCAGGCTACTTCTCTACCCCGTGTACATACAAAAAATTCTCACTCTTTGGGGTCAAATACTCTTGAAGATGAAAATCATACGACTGAGTGTGGAATTTCCATCCGGGTATTAATAACGTATGTTCACCAAATCTATAGCTTGTTGCTATAGTTCAAGGTCTCAAAGAGGAAGGGCTTTGGGTACCTTTTCAGTATTTAATATTAAAGATGGGTTCCCTTATATTCTAGTGTCAGATTAAGCAAACTATTTGATTAATTGGTGTTTCTAATGAATTATCATGTATTCTTAATCATATCATTATGTTTGTAATTGCATATTGCATCATTTTTAACCAATCATAAATGTCCATGTATGTACAGTCTGGATATACAAAAAAAATACTTTTTGACTTTTCTCGATCGGTCACTCATTGGAATTCTGCTGGTAATTATCTTCTAATTCAGACAATTATGAATTAATTATGGACATGTGAGACAGACTGGTGTTTTTCCAAGTCATTAGAACACACCTACTTTTCATAACTGAAAATAATGGAACCCATCTTTAATAAAGCTATGTTTAAAACAACCAGAGTTATACAGACAGTTATGGGTTCGCTTTGAACCTCATTTCTTATTAACCTCTTCGGGTTATTATATCATGAATGTACTTGAACCTTATTTCTTATTGACCTCTTCGGGTTATTCTATTATGAATGTACTTGAAGTTCTCAAAAACTATTGAGATCTCGAGATCTGGAAGCCGTCTAACGCACTGCTCCAAAAGAGAAATATGTTTTCGGTTGTAGCATGGAAACATTGTGACCGAGAAGGGGACACAAAATAAGCCGGGGGTGGAGGGGGGTGTGGAGCGGCACCAAGCTATTCTTTCACTTAGCAAATGATGCAGGGTGCAATGAGGGAAATTTTGCCAGTGACAGTGACATTACTCTTTTTCGATTTAGGAAATATCTTCACAATTCTGATAACCCATTGGGCGTGATTTAAAGAAACAACATCTTCTTCAGGGCAGAAAGACCACGAAATGAGATCAGTGTGTAATAAATATCCCAAATCATACTTTGCCTTCAGCGAATACGGAGTTGATTTCACTTTTAATGTATAGAGGGCGTATTGCAAACACATAGATGTGTTTTGTTCTGAGAAGAGCATTTAAATATGGCGGGAGTGCATTCAGACTCCATGATACCCCATTTCCTGATTTACATAATGGGTCCTTGTAATAATATTAAATAATGGACGTTGATATATGGTATTTAACAAATGGGATTTAGAAATGCACATCTGTACAGTATTTAAGGAAAGTAGCAAATACCCTAAAGGCTTTCACAGAAGGAGTTTACTTAGACGAAAATATTGCTATCTTTGTAGGTTTTGTTCATTCTGTGATATTTGTATAAAGTGGTATGGTGAGATAATATTTATTATGAATTGTATGCAGAATTGACTCAGTCTTGCAGAATTTTATTGTGATGGTCTCTCTTTACTTTGTGGAAGCCCTGATACAAAAGACGCACGCTTCTGAGCCTTTTTATGAACACTGGGAAGCCCCGATATAAAAGACTTGCAAGTAGAACGCCTTAACTTATCTGACATCCGATATCTGTCAAGAGTTCTCGTCCTTGACCTTCGCACATTTTATTGTAGGTGTTCAGGATGTATGCATCGTGTCCAAACCACGCCCCCATTCGTCATACTTCCTCGAGATAAGACTTGTCAAAACTCGATTCGTGATACGATGGATCGTATGTTGACTTTTTCTGAAATCATGCACATTTTCTCGATGATTTGTCCATAGTATATGTCAGTTTTTTCACGTAAAGGTGTAGTTTGACCAAAATTGTAAGGGTATTAAATGAAGCAGGGCCGACCGCCAACATTTCACAGACCTCGATATCTGGGAACGATATTTTACTGGGAACGGAATTTTTATAATGTAGAATTACCGTTATTTTTTGATGTATCCACGGCAATGATTTGGGCAGATGGATACAATATTGTCCTTATTATTGATATTGCAAAGCTTTATTTACGTCTACATCTCAAAATTGTTGATTTTATCACGTTTTTAACAAAAATGTCATTTGATGGAATCAACCACAAAGAGCTATGACCATTTCCTTTAGTGTTATTTTTAAATCTTCAAACGTAGGAGCAATAGTCAGGTAAGAGGAGTTGGTTGCAATTAGGTTTAATTCATCTGTATTTATTCCGCTTCCAACGCCCATAGCATGCATAGTGATATTATCACTTTTAGCCGCAGCGACAGCTACCTTTGTTAACCTGCGTTCAGCAGAAGCACCATCAGTAATAACTACAAGATGTTGCGGAACATTGGGGCGACCAGTTGTATCGAACATATCATGAGCTTGAACTATACCTAGATCTGTCCTTGTTCTACTATCCGGGTAATCAATGGCAGCTATGGTGGTCGATAACGCAGTAGCATTAGTACTCAAAGGAATTATTTCCGTTATAGTGGTGCCAAACAGCACAAGTCCCAGATTCACCGTACTCGGACTTATATTTAACTCCGGCATAATATCTGCAATTGACTGCATCTGGGTAGCAAAGTTCGCCTTTTTGATTGAGCCCGATCCGTCAACGACTAGTATTACATCCAATGGTTCCGTGCAACCTGAAATGAAATTGAAACGGATTCGAGACCTAAAATATAACCTTGCATGTAGGCAGCTTCAGACAGCCCCCATACATCAGAAAGGCGGATTTATCACTGAACTGCATCTTGGAAGTTTTGAATACGGGTTCTGCTACAACGCGGCTAAGATGTCCAATGTCCAAACCCTTTATAAAGTATTTTAAAACAGTTAAGATTCTTTATACTGGAACTTGGCTTTATCTGTTAAACAACAATATCATGCAAATCTACTTTAATCTAAAAAAAATCAGTTTATACATTATAAATATAAAATATCAAATCTGTTGAGTTAATTAGGTCGCTATTAGAATGCTAATCTTTCTGAAACATCTACGGCAGGAACACCATTACAAATTCCTTTGACTATGTCCCTCAAAACATCGCCCAAGACGTCAAAAGTGTCCGCAAGATGAACTTGGTCTACAGATGAAGCAATATTGTCCAGTTCTTGTGGATTAGCATTACCACCAACACCAACCGAGTACATATCAATCCCTGCGTTTTTGGCATCAGTGGCTCGAGCTACAGTCTGTTGCGGTTCACCAGAGATTCCGTCAGTTATAACAATGGTCTTCTGTGGTACACCAGATCTTCCAGATCTTGTGGACATGGCGGTGGCTTCTGCGATACCGAGATCAGTTGAAGTGTAACTTCCGGGAAAGGGTAGTGCCAAGATCTCTGCAGTCCGCTTAGTGGCGTCACCAGTCAGCGGTAAAACATCGTAAACTTTTTCACTGTACACAACCAAACCCAAGTTCACCACGCTTGGTGATACATTTAAATCTGGTAAAATATCGGCCAAAGTTTGTTTCATCAGCTCGAATCTTGCTGCTTTGACAGATCCTGACCCATCTACTACTAAATATATATCCATTGGTTCCGTACAATCTGAAATTAGATTAGGCTAGGAAAAGGGGCAACCAATCCCTTAAAGGGACAGTATGCAGAATTTTCATTATCAAAAACATCGTGAATAATACCTGAAAATATTTCTACAGTATGCTATTTATATCTATGTATCTACTTGATTAAACTGAATTTGTTTTAAAAGGGTTAATAAAAAATACGGAGAGTACAAATTTCGACATACAAATAAAAAGAATGTCCCATTAACTTTTGTTACTTCAAAGTCTAGTATACTTCATTACGCTACTATCAATGTCTAATATAAGAATATTTACAACATCGTTGATCTTTCTGCCTTTTTCAAATGTGGGAATTGTTAGTTATTTATTCAATTATTGTCTAAAGCTGAAGACACATACATGCGGGTGCGATGCCTGCGTTGCGGTAAACCGGTGCGATTATGCGTTACCGTTGCGGCAGGTATGACACATACGCGCGGTTCACCTTTGCGTTAAATTTGACTGAATGTGGCATGTTGACGGTTTCCAGTCTGTAATAATGGGGTTTCCCCACAATGACGTCTGAAAATAATGGAAATCACCTGCGGCACAGCTGCGTTTCACCGGACAGAAAGTCCGGTGAAACGAAGCGGGAAAATATAGCAACGCACCGCAACAGCATGTATGTGTCATGTCAAATGCATACCCTTGTTTGTTTCGATCCGGTGAAACGCTGAGGGGGGAAATGAACGCATCGCATCGCCGCACCGGACCACGAACCGCATGTATGTGTCTTTAGCTTTACTAAAGTACCACAACAGTAAGAGACACCGCATCATATTTAAAAGTAAAACAGAAATATGTGAAAATAAACCTATTCATGAGTAAGTTAACGTTTTAAAGCTTCAATATAATATTCTCCCTTGTAGCTTACAGATTAGGTTGTAATCAGTATGTTCGTCCATTGGAATAGGGGTATGAGTTTCAAATCACTATAACTGTTCTCGTTTAGGGAAATGCCAGTTTAAAAGTATAGTAAAGAGATATGAGCTATATACTATCAAAGATATTACAATGTTGACCAGACAAACCAATAAAAGTTTATATAATGTTCTTACCTGGAGTTGGGGTAGTAGGGAGAGGATCTGAAAACAGATAATACTGTTATATATCATACATAAATAATTATTATTTACCAAGTGATAGAATACTATTACTTACTAATATTAATGATGATGATGCTGATGATGATGATGATGATGATGATGATGATGACGATGACGATGACGATGACGATGATTAGTTGATCGATTGCGATGATGGGTGACGATGATGGGTGACGATGATGGGTGCTTATTCAACGCCTGTAAATCTAACTTACCACATAAGTTAACTTCCGGTATACCAATATCTAATGAGCCTAGCACTGTATCAAAGTTGGTTGCTCTTTCAACATATCCAGTTCCAGAAGCAATATCCGACAATTCGCTGTCCAAAACATCGCCTCCGACACCGACAGCGTACACGGTAGCACCATCTGCTTTAGCTGTTGTAGAAGCATTCTTCGTAAGTTCCAAATTATCAGAATAACCATCAGTTATAACTATCAGAACCTTATCTTCACCAGTTCGTCCTGTATCTAACATAGTCAGACCGGAATTTATACCAATATCAGTTCGGGTACCTGCTTCGGGATACGGGAGAGCCATTATAGCTGCTTCAAGTGCTGCCTTTTCGGAAGAGAGAGGGATTTTACCAGTTGACGCTACTGAGGAACTGTATACCACTAAACCAAGATTGATATCGTTACCGCTGACTGGTAAACTCAGCGCATAATCTGCTATGTTTCGTTTGAGTTTCTGGAAATTGGCAGCACCAATTGATGCCGAGCCGTCGACTACTAATACTATATCACGTGGGTTACAAGCTGAAATACAAATGGGAAGACTCTCAATAAAATCAAGATTAGGTGTAGGCTACTACTAGTAGTTCTACTAATAATAACTTAACATGTATTCTAAAATAATTACATCGGGACCATTTGTGGTCATCTTTCTAACAGAATTTTGTTTATGTAGAATTGCTTAATACAACTTTTCGGTCGTGACGTTCTTAGTTTTAGTGGATTTGCAAAACCCAGAGACTTTTACTGTCAATGTCTCCAATGCACATAAAGAGATAGAAAGTCTCTTTTCAATCCGTTACATGGTTTGTTCTTTGTTGAAAGCTATCAAAGTTTCGAATAGTGTCGACATGGTTACTTACAAGCTGGTGTGGTTGGTGGTGCAGGGGTTGTATCTGAAATAGATACGTCAAAGTAAAATAATGCTTTGTACAGTGAATGAATGGACACATGGCATAAGCGACAGTCTCATTATTAAACTATTATATCATCGCAGATTTTTCTACCAACAGATCCATCGTTAAACACGAACTTGTGGAATATTGGCGAAGTAAGCGAAAGAATTGACATAATTTATTAATAGAAATTAAACGACAAAAGGGACAAATGCGGTTATTTAATTTCTAATCGTCATTTCTTTTTGATCAGTTGCGGGATTGACCTCTACCTTATAATAAAAAACAAGGTTAAATTTACGGTTAAAGGTCTTACTAATTTTATATGTGACTTTCAAAAGGCAACAACGGTAGTATTAAATGACTTACATGGTGTTGGCGGTGCCCCGGAATTACAAGTTCCGTCTACGATTTGGTTGTAGTTGGTCAATAGTTCATTGATATCTGTCAGTTCATATACATCACTCGGTGTGTTACTAGCAATGGCGTCTAATTCAGCTTTATTATACAATGTACCAGACGGGGACTCGACACCCATAGAGTACACGGATACAGGTGATCCTACCAAGGTCTTCAAAGCATTAGCTTCAGCTCTTGGTACGACACCTCTTCGAGATCGACCAGCTGTTAACAGTATAGCTACTCTGTGGGAATCGCGAGGCAACTGATTTCCATTAAAGATATCCACAGCGCCATTCAAACCATTAGCAAGCTTCTGACCATTTCCAAGCGGTTCTGAATTCTTGTCCAGTTCGTCCATGATGAATGTTCGTTCTCCAGAAAGTGGGATCTTGACAGTTTGTGCTGTTTCACTATTAGTAAAGACAACACCGACCCTGGTTCCGATGTTTGCTATGTTCTGTTGTCGTACGAAGGATCTTATGGAGTCTAGGAAATTGTCATATATATCTCCAGCTTTGGTACCATCTGATGCATCGACAATAAAAACAACGTCGACTGGACAAGATGGCTCTGGAATAAAAAAGGTAGGTAAACGTCTCAATCAAGTGTTATTCTCCAGAAGACGCAGTCTTTACTCTGTTTCTGTTTGTAATAGAAAAGCTTAGTCAAAATGTCTAGCTATATAGATCCCCTGGAAGGTGTGCATACCCAGTTCGTCCTTACATTTTTGTCTCTAGAATAGAAACGAGCGAAGTAAAAATGCCAAGCAAATATTAGATATGTACACACTTCGGAAGGTGAGCCTACACTTTTTCGTTAATGAGTTATGCCTGTTTGTGCCCTTTTATGATTACCAAATACATTATACTGTATCGATACATCTTTTGACGATTTTTCCCTATGAAGAAGTTTGAATCTGTGCTTGTCAGTTGATCTGTTCTTCTGAAATTACTTGGATTCCAAATATCAGATATTAGTACTGAGAAAGCTCCAAAGCAGAAATAAACACTCACCACAAACAATATTTTCCGGTCTGATCAAAGGAATGTTGATGGACTCAAAATTGGGAGCATTTTGAACATTTCGTGGATTTGACGAGATTCCATTCAGTTCAGTGTTATCTACTCCCCGACCGACACCAATGGCATAAACGTTGGTACCAGCGCTCTTAGTCTTATCAGCTGCCTTCTGAGTCGCTGATGGAAGATCTGAAAAGCCATCGGTAATAACAACCATTGTGTCTGTGGCACCAGGTCTGCCTGATTGCAGCATGTTACTTCCAGCATCGATGCCAAGATTGGTCATGGTACCACCTTCTGGATATGGCAGATCTTTGATGGCTTTCTCTAAAGCTGCAGGGTCATCAGAGAGTGGTATTATTTCACTGGGAACACCACTTGAGCTGTACACGACAACACCGACATTATCCTGGTCCGGACTGATGGTTAACTGCTTGGTGAAATTGACTAGGTTGGATTTTAGTGTATCGTAAGAATTACTACCAATTGAAGCTGAACCATCCACCACTAACACTATATCTCTTGGATTACAACCTACAATATAATTTGTGATTACCCTTATCGTAACGGAAAGCATCTTTTGACATAAAACATATCTAGTGCAAAGCTGGAATAAAGACTATAAATTGATGAAAGTTAAAGGTTTTTTACCTATAAATTTGGGTATTTAGTATTTATTTGGTAGATCAGAATAAAATGAAACCAAATAACCAAATAATTCAGTATTTATGTACATACAAATAGGGTCTGATGATAATAGTTATGATTGGATAGATTTGAAAAGGATTGTGAAAAGGTTTTCTAAAATTGTTGATGTGTATCAGGGACACTGATAGCATCAATTTGCACTATCTCAATTCTCCATAACTTAGTGTTTTCGAAAAAATTTAGAAAACCTCTTTGCAATCCCAGTCATAGGTTCATAGTACCTTGTTGATCGGGAACGACTTTACAATCTCTTTCAGCGATATCATTAATATTCTGGAGTAGTGTGGAAGTATCGGGTAGTTTCACGACGTTCTCTATATTATCAGTTATAGTATTCAACTCAGCTTCATTATAATTAGGACCATTCAGAGAGTTCACACCGATAGCGTGTACAGACATAGTTTTACCACCTTCTAAACCTCTCAGAGCTTCTGACTGGTAGTCTGGTAGTACTCCACCTTTAGAACGACCGGCAGTTAGGACTATTGTGGTTCTGGGAACATCGCGATTAAGAGCATCATTATTGAAAACGTCAATAGCTCCGTTTAATCCAGTACTGAGGAGCAATCCGCCGCCTAGTTGCTGTGAATTGTTGGCTAGTTGAGATTTGAGGAAGTCTTTGTTTCCTGATAGCGGGATCTCAATCGTCTTGTCAATGTTGGTAAAAACAACACCCACTCGTTTTCCAGTGTTAGATATATCTTGTTGATCCACAAAGTCTTCTATTGTTTTAACGAAATTCTCGTACAGATCTCCACCCTTGGTGATGTCAGACGCGTCAACTACGAACACAATATCCGCAGAACATTCTAGAAATGAATAAATGAATGAATGAATGAATGAATAAATTGTAATGACAGGTATATAGAAATAAATAAATAAGTTAAGTGCTCGAATTAATGAAAAGAATGTGCCAAAAGTTAACAAATGTGCCCCTTACCTTTAACCTTAAAGAATCTTCAACAGTTTATGGTTTAAGGATTTAAAAATCTTTACAGCGTTTTTATAATGAACGTTTTTCAAATTGCCCCTTTAATTCAAAACAAAGTTTACGGAAGTCTAATTATAGTTACCTGGACCCGGAGAGGTTGATGGAGGCATGGTAGTGGTAGTCGGCGGATTTGTACCCGGGGCCTCCGTTCGCGGACGCCTGGTAGTCGTTGATGTAGTCGTTGATGTAGTCGTTGGTCGCAGTGTTGTTGTAGGTGCCATTGTAGTAGTTCGTAAGGTAGTCGTAGGTGTTGGAGGTCTCGTTGTAGTAGTGGGTACAGCAGTAGTAAGCCGGACTGGAGTGGTTGGTGGCTGGGTTATTGGTGGTAACGTAGTCGGAGCGGCAGTTGTGAACAACGTTGTTGGCATGGATGATGGTGGATCAGGCGTTACTACGAAAATGAAAATGGTTTATGAAAGTGGGGAGACTCAATCAGTTGATGTTTAGTAATAAATTCCATTGAGTGAGCAGCCTTACGGAATTGTCACAAGAATTGATTTTAATAAACGATTAATTCGTGTCTACATGACTCTAGGAGAACATGTATATAGGACAAATGAACTCGATGCTTAACCATGGTAGTTAGCATAAATATTTGTTGCTCATTGATGAAGGAAGGAAACTTTTTATACAGAGCAAAAAATTAATTTTTTATTATAAAGTATTTAGGGAAAAGCATTTTTTTATTTCTTGTGCAATAAACTTTTGAAGAAAACAAAACCATTGTATTTAAATGAAGTTAAGGACAAATTAGATTTTTTATTTAATTGTTTAAGTCAGAGTTGTTAACTCCATCTACTTACTACAGATAGTAGCTCTACCAAGTTGAAGAAACGAAGGAATGATAAGATTAAAGTCTGCGATTCGTTTCACGTTTTCTGAAGCTGAGGCGATATCCAATAATTCAGACTCGACTACGCCATTTCCAACTCCGAGAGCATAAACATCGACACCATTGGCCTTGGTTTTATCAGCAGCAATCTTTGTCAGAGTTGGATTATCAGAATACCCGTCAGTGATCACTACCATAACTTTCTTAACGCCGACTCTACCGGCATTCTGAAGCATCTCACGACCTTGATCAACACCCAAGTCTGTTCGAGTTCCCCCTTCAGGGTAGGGTAGTGAAGATATGTCATTTCTCAGCGAAGTAAGGTCTCCAGTAATTCCGATGATTCCCTGTGGATCGACTAATGAACTGAAAGTGGTCACCCCTACGTTAATACCATTCACACTAACAGGCAAGTCAGTCACAAAATCTCTCAGGTTGTTTTTCAGGTTCTCGAAGGCGTTTACACCAATCGACATCGAACCATCAACTACCAGAACTATGTCGTACGGGTCACAATCTGAAAACAGGAAATGGGTTTCTCACATGATTGTGCGCAGTAGCGTATTTAGGGGGAGAGCCATTGGGCCTGTTACAGATCTTATTTTGAAGTAAAAATCAAGTCCTCTAAATGCTCAATATTCATCTCGGGCCATCTGAAACCCG